TAAACCAATTTTGTAATACTATTAATCAATTTTATATAACTTGCAATATTCTATATAATGCTTAAAATATTAAAATTAAGTAGTCCAATGCAATCATATCCAAAAAGTTATTACCAAAAGACATGCTAATTTTATAAATAATGCAACAAAAATAATAAATAAAATTTTACATCAATGTACTGTCTTTATAATTCTTTATAACATCAAACAGACAAAGAACTTAATTATTTCATTCATACAAATAAAACTATATCTACAAGCACATTTTGAAAACTAAACAAAGGCAAATTTACTTAACAACATAAAATGGCCTAACTGAGAACAAAACTACAATCTTATTATCAAAATAAATATACAGTAGTACTATATACTAACTTATATTATTATAATAGAAGAACTAAAAAATACAATAATAAAGTCATCTCTAAACAAAGCATTAGGCTTACAAATAATATTAAATTAAATATTAAAACATCTTGGCTAATTAGCTAACCAAGATTTTTTTAGATACTCAATGCTTCTCTAATACTAAAAATAATACTAATACAATAAAAACAAACAATTATTTACTCTATATTCAAAGCCTATATTTACAGAACTGTTATCACATTTGATTTATTACTTTTATTAAACATTTATGCAAATTCTTTACTAAAATAATAACTAACAAACTTAACAATATAATGCTCAAATACTTTATAGTTTTGTTATATAATTATATAGCTTTATATTTTAATTTTAGCACATAATTTATTTAAGTTTTTAAATACATTTTAGAAGATGCAACTATTAAAAACAAAAAAAAATGAATTTTTGTCTTATAACATATTTAAAGCTTACAACTTTATACATATACCTTAACAAAGCATTAGTCTGACTTTCTATATCTACAAAAATTACTACTCTTATTATTAATATCTTTACTAAAAGAACAAATACTATTTTAACAAACTTTGTAACTACTAGCTTCTATTCTGTAAATAATAAACTAAACTAAAAAGAAACTATAATTTCAATTTTATAATATATTTTTTGACTAACTAATATTAAAAATTGCTAATTAAAACAAAAATATAAACTACAAACTACTATTTAAATTGCACAAAATAAATAGCAACTACAAAAAATTATTACAACTATTATTTTATTTTACAAAATATCAAATATAATTATTAACTTATACAAATCAATTACAATTATTAACTTATACAAATCAATTACAATTACAAACATATCTAACTTTAACAAACATATTATTTTTAATAGTTAACAAATAAATAACATAAATCTAAAAACAACTTTTAAATTTTTAGGCTGTCATTTTACTTATTTCAAAAATTACAAACATATCTATTACAAATAACAAATAAAATCAAACTTATATTAACAAATTTAAATATATAAAGATTACAAAAAAACAGAGAATTTATATTATTAATACATTTATACTTATTTATTTTATATATCTTATACAAAATACATATATTATAAAACAACAATACATAACAATATGAATTAATACATTAGTAATACTAAAATTAATGTTATGCTTTATAGATGCATTCTATACTCTAATTTTTATCATTATTATATTTATGCATTTTGTCAGATATACAATAATCAAAATTAATAGCATATCTTCAATCTTACCAAAACTATTAATTATTTCAATTTCAATTAATCAACATTCACTATAAATTTCAGCAATTATAAAATGTACCAAATTGTAATATATCAATTCTGCTTAGGCATACTGTTTTCTTTACACCTTACTATAATACATCTACAGTAAGGGTTATTCTAAACCTATACAAGTTATAATTACAAATTGTAAATAATGCCATCTTATAGCCAATTCCAAAAACTCATCTAATTAAACAAATAAACAAAAACCCTATGCTTCTTAATTATTTTAAAATAAACATCTGAAATTTTTGTAATGCTCTTAAAAACTGTTTTTAACCAATGTCAAATCAAAACCACCTCATCTGCCTTTAAATAACATTATACAATGCAAATGTTTCTGAAGTAACAATTCATTGCATTCCTTCTTGTCTTGTGGTGCCATTCCAAACCTAATAACCTATATCAATAGTGTAATACCAGAATATCATGACTAATTATGTGAAAATTGTATGAAATGTAATAAGTTACATTTATGATCAGAAAAGGTATTTCAGATCCAAAGAGGTAGATAAGGAATAAGGAGAGGGTTGAAGTCAAATTACACATCCTTAAAGATACTACATAAATCACTGCAAATAGGTTTAATTAGTTTTAATAGATAATAAATGTAAAGTCACATTTGTAAGTGACAAATTTAGTATTATAAATAAAAGCTGAAATGACCCTTAAGAGCGAGATTGCTCTTCTTGCTTTATTAAATAAGGTTCAGTCATGAATGGTCATAATCATTCATAGTCAATTTGCTAACTACTGAGATGATTTTTTACTTTTGAGCTTTTAATTAAAGTTGTTCAGAATTAAATTCTGATAATCCCATATTACGTGTGGAAAGAACGAAACCTTCTCCGGAACTCGGAATTTCGAAATATGTTATTGCCATGACCGGTTATTAACCGTCGGTTAATAACCGGTCATGACGTTACAAATCTCGAAATTCCGAATTCCGGAGAAGGTTTCGTTCTTTCCACACGTAATATGGGATTATCAGAATTTAATTCTGAACAACTTTAATTAAAAGCTCAAAAGTAAAAAATCATCTCAGTAGTTAGCAAATTGACTATGAATGATTATGACCGTTCGTGACCGAACCCATCCCTAGCCCCAAATACCTTATATCGCCCCTAATAAACACTAATACTATTACCGTTATCAACCCTGAAACCCCTATAACATCGCTGTTCGTTCAAGTTCTTGTTCACGTGACTTACCTACTGACCATCATTGAATCCGAGTAACCGAAAGCCTTAATCACCCACCAGCCAAATCTAACACCCTCTTTCGAAAGGGTATTGTGGAGTGACTAAGTCGCGATCTTTCGAACCCCACAATAGTAATTTTTTCATGCATGCACTAACTTTAAACATGAAATTATCAATTTTAATTACTTAAAACAGATCTTATTGGAATAATATGACATTACTATCCTAATAACCTATATATCATAAGACTATCAAAAGTTAAAAATTTATTATAATTTATACAGTAATGATATGGTCTAAAATCCAATAATATGATTCAAAATCCGAAACTTAGAACAAGACGATAAATCAATGACGATAAGGGTTAAAATATTGTAGATGCATTAAATGCATAACGCTGTAGTAAAGTAAAATATATCGCAGAACCAATAATATTTTTCACTAACATTATGAAAAAAGATCTAAAATTGTCAGGAATTGTTCGATTTTCCAAACATGTGTTTATGTTTGTACTGTTCTGTTTTCAATGATGTTTGTACGGGATGTAAAAATAGAAATTTTATGATTAAAACTTATCGTATGAAAACACAAAAAACGTATAAAAAACGTATAAAAACATATGCATCCAATAACCACCCTTTAAAATGTTCGGACAATTTCAAGAGATTTTTTTATAGGATAATAATCGGTAACAGAACTATTTATTTCTAATGTTAATTCAACAATTCATCTGTAAGCTCAATCAACAAATGATTATTATAACTATTAATGGTAGTATATTTTATGCAAATTTAAAGTTTAGAATATAACAAGTCATAAATCTTATTTTAAAATACTATTTTTAACAGAAATTCTAAAACATAAACTTTCAGATAAAGTATAAATGAGATAAATTATATCAGCACCGTATTTGGACAAAATTTTCTATTGTAAACAAGCTTCCAGACAGTCATTTATTATTTGTTATAATACGTATTATGTTTTGTACTATGTTTTGTACTATGTTTTGTATTATGTTTTGTACTATGTTTTGCACTATGTTTTGTACTATGTTTTGTACTAAGTCTTGCACATGTGAAACAGATCAACACATGCCTACGTAGAGGTAACTCCGACTTTAAAAGTGACAATTTTAGTAGCATAGATGTAGTTTTCAGGTTGATTGGTAAGTATAGCAGTCATTATTAATTTCTTCTTGTACAAATTTGTTTTTAGTCTGATTTATTTTGTTAAGAGGTGAGACGCAATTTTTTAGGGGACGAGATCACTAATAACAAGTAATTACGTAATATTATGGGGTTAATTGAAAGTACGATTACTACTGTAGACACATGATTTTAATTTGTTATCTTTATCCTTTACAGAATACTCGTCAGAGGCGTGACAATAGTGAATTGGAAGGTTTAACTATTTAATAAAAGTTTCATGAGTAATAAAATTTCATCTTGGTATGACCAATACTTTATCCGGGGTACGATCGACATTTTTTTTTTGGTATATTTTAACAACCAATCAAAACAACTTCTGATATGATACGTATTACGTAGGACAGCAAATTAAAACTCCTGAAATATGCAACCAAGTTCGTAATATTACACCAAAATTTAACTTTATCTCGTGAGCTAGCGCTAGTGTTTGGATTCATTAATTTTGTTACCTTCCAAAATCATCAAATCCAATCCAATTACTCACCAATAGCACACTATCAATTCTTATGCTCTATATTCAGTAATTGACGAAAAAAATACTACTAATTAATGTGTACAAGGGATTTACTTACATGATTTACTTACATGTATATACTAAGATACACATAGTTTCAAATTTACTACCTAAATTTTGTTACGTCCACTTATAAATTTAACTCTATAACGTTAAGAAATATGCAGTATAATCCTGTATTACTTTTCCAGTAATTTCAAGTGACAATTTACTAACGAATATGATCTAAACTGATAACATACTAAGTTATATAGTTAGTTCAAGATTATTATTAAAACATGTTAAACGGTACATGCATATGTAAAAATAAAGTATAAAAAGGCGTTTAAATGCTGAAATCTAATTTGATGAAATAGATGACGGTTTATTTCATTTTCTGATAACTTTGAGCTAATGGCCATTGTTATTAAAAATAATAATTTCATACTTATTTATTTGAGCGACGAAAAGTGAAAAGCTTTTCGTACTCATTTCTGAGGTAGGTTATTTTTTAAAAATTTATGATATTTCTTAACGTTAATAATATCATTATCATTTTGTGCTACTCGCTTATGCAATCAATTTTCAGTCACTTGGCACACTTTACCCTAAAAGTGTTAGAATAAATTCATTTATTATAAAACACACTTGGCACCTCTACGTATATAATTTTTATAAAATATTTTGCACAAAGGTTTCATTTGAGGTTATAATTAGGGTTGTGGAAGGGTTATTGATGCATAAAGCATATATTAATTAATTAGTCGGTTTTTAAAGTAATGCAATATAGGAGGTAAGCACCAAGGTGTGTTTTAGTAAATGTGGTAAATTTTTATCAGGTGAATCAGAGCAAAACCAACACTAAAATTACTGTGAATATTTACATATATATAAACCATCCAAGCAAATTATCAGTAAATTATTTGCATCTCTACTAAATTATTATTCAATTATTATTCTACAAACATATCAATGAATTCTACTAAACCATTAAAGATAACAAAGGATCAACACATCCTTATATCTAAATTATGTATTCCCTTGAATATCATTTCTCTCATTTCTTCTGTTGCCGCATGCGTGACATTTGTCTTCATACGAACATACTATCCTAAACTCGCGAATCGTGTTTCATTTCGTTTAAGTTTTGCGGCCTTATTCTGTGATATAGCCTATTCCGGTCATCTTTTATTTGAATTTTTTTGGGTGGCTACTCCTGGTTTTTTATGTGGATACCTGGTAAGGTATTATTAGCATTCTCCATTTTTGATATCCAGTAGCTTCTTTTAATTTCTTAATTTCTATATATAAGGCTTGGGCACTCGTATTTCTTGCTCTTTCTTCAGTATTTTTTATCGTTTGTATAGCTTTGGTATGTATTGTCGCGGCTCATCCTGAAATTTGGTTGAATTGATGTTTAGGGTTAGAATTGGTATATGTGAATTTAGCAGTGCTTATATTTTCAAATCACGACCCAAATTTCAGCAACAGTCGCATTATGTATTATAACTATATTTTACTGTTCTTTATATATGTTTATGTATTAATGTTCATTTTTCATTTTTATTTTTATTTTTAGAACCTTCATATAGTGTTCGTAAATGAATATAGAAGATATAATTTTGAAATCTATTATTTTATATTTGCATTTTCTTTTGCTCTTTTTCTCTCTCTACTTCCTGCTGCCGCTAATATATATGGTTATGATAAACTTCTTGGGTATGTATAGTATTATACCATTATATATATAAATGTACAGTAGACATTTACTATTTCTAGGGTCTGCGACCGGGCACGTGCCAATGCACAAAAAGTATAGGCATGTATGGGCACGGCTAGTGATGCAAGGAAATTATTTCCATAATTGTGCCAAACATTTCAAATTTTAGTAATTCCTGTAAATCTTTGCATCAAATTGTACCTTCTGTCTAAATTGTGGAATTACTAAAATTGTTAATGGTCAATTCCTCAAAGTTGAGAAATTAGAAATAATTCCTCTGCACCACTAGACACGGGCATGGGCATTCTACCGTATTACAAGCGCTAGTATATATTTGTTTATTACATAACTACAAAATTTTTTGGTTGTGCCCGAAACTATGTCCGACATTTTATGCCCATACTCTTGATAGTGTCTAGCACTTTGTGCCTTGCTTTGCCTGATGTATTTTATTTCACATATTCATATTGATTAATGTCTATTACAGTGGTTGTTGGTATCATGATTCTGGTCAACAATATATTTTAATATGGGAATGGGTTACTTTTTTCGGTTGGATGTATGCATCTATAACGTATTGTGCGATCGTTATTATTATGGTCATTAGAAAACTCAACTTAGCAGCAAAACAAATCGATACTTCTAATTTTTCATCTAATTCTCGGTCATCTATTCATCCCCCTTTAATTAATAAGGCAATGATTTTATCAGTTGTCAGAAGAGTGATTTGGTATCCTGTGTTGCCGATAGCTCAAATTTTTGGCGGTATCAATGATGTTTGCTATTATATTAATTATGAGGTCCCTTATATACTTCAGTTATTTTGCTTTATTTGCATATCACTTCAAGGTATTTACACGTTATATATATTTATATCTATATTTTCTTTATTATTTGAACATTCATTGATTATTGATTTTATCTATTGCACCTTAGGATTACTGAATGCTTTAGTATTTTCGCAAGATATTGCAGTTACTCGTACTTTCCAGGCTATTAAACTACAATGGTGGATCTCCATTGTTAACTCTTATGAGTCTCATTACCCTCATAAATCTCACAACAAAGCCATTGAACTAGTAAAATCAAATGATCTAAATTACAATAATGCTGATATCGTTAAAAGTGATATTATTAATGACGATATTATTGATAATAATATTATCAACGAAGAAATTAATAATAAAAATTTTATTAATAAAAATAATAACATTTATAATAGAGCTAATAATAGTATAGTTTCACAACCGTCTCTCTTAGAGTGGTTAAGATACATTCTATTAATTAAACTTTTCTCCCCTCCAAAAATTACACCTCGAGTAATTTCATCTAATCATTTATCTCCGATTAATTCCCCTGTTGGCAATGAGTTTAGTGCCCCTTCTGTTCTGGTTGATAATCAATATGTTGTTCAAGGTATTCAACCTGTTAATTTAAAAGTTTTTTTTATCAACGTTCCTCATCATCTCATTGTTTTAAATCCATCTGAACCATTAATAGGTAGTTCGATTGAACCAACTAAAAGAATATCAAGAATCTCCGAAGAATTTGAAGGAATTGAAACAACATTAAAAAGGCTTTAAAAATTTTTTCTATTAATTTCCTTCAATTTATTGTAAAAAAAAGGTTTATTTAATTCATTCATTTGCTATTATTAATATTGTTCAGTATATTTCAGTACTTCATGTAATCGTAACACTGGGGTCGGATAAATTTGTAGTTCGTATAATATGATTAAATATATGACGTAATTTCCATATATTTGCATAGTCATGCCATTGTGAAAAGCAACTTTATCCTTCTCCCGATCTACAATGTATTCAACATAGTACAGTTTTGATTTATTTTATTTTTACTATTTGCACTATTTATTTATGGAATCGATTGATTCAAAGGACATTTAACGGATAATAGGAGAAAGAACAAATAATGTTTACTTTAGTGTATGTAATTGAAAAATATATAAACACCAAGACTTACCTTCAATAAAGCTGAACTCGTTAACACTGTCTCATAAAGTTTTTTGTTCTAATTCTCTCCTCGATAAGTGAAATTTTTATAATGTCTAATCTAATGATGCTTGACGAATGACAAATAACGAAATGTCAAAACAGAGTACTATTTTTGTAATGGATTAGATATTCAAAGTTTAAGATTAGTAGTTTAAGAGGATTGTAAAATATAATCAGGTATATTTGAATATATGTATAAGATAATGAATCATGATATATATGTTATAACAATGAATAATAGTTTCATTTTGATCAATACTATTGTATATTGGATAGAAGGAAGTAAAGTTAAGATTAATAACAACTTAGTTGTAGTGGGATCAAAGAATATGTTAATAATAGATGAAGAGAGTAAAAGATAGAAAAGTAAATGTCTGAAAAGGGTAAAGTTAACAAAATCATATTCTTTACTCATATTTTGTAAAAATAATTAAATGTTTTTATAATTGTAAGTAGTATCTTTAATTAGATTGTTAGGAATTTAAATAGAAATTAAAGTATTATTAATGAAGACAACTTAATTAAAGAGTAAAAAAATAAGATAAGAAGAAAAATAAAGTTGTATTGATTTGTAAGATTTTAGTATAGAACTTACAAATGTATTCAAAAAAATAATAGATTGAATACGATTAAAATCATTATCAAAGATATTTTGTTTAAGAATAAGATAAATTTTATTATATTTTTATTGTTTAAGAATTTCATTTTAAGAAGACAATAGTTAAAAAGAACAGTAATAGCAGAGATATATTATTAACTGATATATTTGAACATCTTATAATTAATGTCTAAAGGATTACAGAATTTATTATTTTATAACTAAGAAAAAATTTGAAAAAGTTCTTAATTAGTAATAAGAGAATTAAGAAAATAATATCAAATTAGATTAATATAATAAAATAAAAGGTAATGTTATTGTTAAAGATTATTAAAAAGAGTATAATTAATAAATCTAAATTTAGTTAAATCATAAAAGTAAAATTAAATATATTGTTTAATAACTAATAGATTAGTAATAAATTAGTTAAACAGTTTTATACTATAAAAGTAAACAAATTAATAGTAGTAATTAAAAATGTTATTAATAATTTAAATAGACTGTATTATAAAAATAACATATTTTTTATCAATAGCTTAATTAATTTATTATTAAAATAAAAAAGAGTTTTCAAGTTAACAGTCTTATAAAAGAAAGATAAATAGATTTAATTAAACCTCAGATATAGAAGATGTCAGAAACAAAGAGAAAAAGAAGAAAAATAGACATATATGAACAAAACTAGAAAAAAAAATCTCAAAACTACAAATTAAAGAACAGAAGAAAAAAGTGATATTTAAAATTAAAAGTTAGAAAACCAAATAAGACATATTTAGAGAAAAATACATATATAGAAGATATATTGAATAAATTTAGAAAAAATTGAAAAAATTGAAAAAAGGTAAGAGAGATAACAAAGAAGAGCTTAGCCAATTGCTTCTAAAGACATTTTAGTTAAAACAATATAAATAGACAAGAAGCTTAAGAAAATCTTATAAAAAAAAAAGTATTTAAAGATAAAACAGTACCTTCTTGTTAAGAAAAAAAAAAGAATAGAAAAAAAAAGAAAAAAATAACATATAGAAACAGAACAAAATTAGCTAAAAAAGAAAAATAGAAAAAAAAAAAGAAAGAGATAAAAATAGCATATTATAATATTAATAATTTAAAAATCAAAGGTTGAAAGCTTAAAATTTTGCTTAGCTAGATAGAAAAAGAAAAGGCTGCAATATTGAAAAT